CAGTCAGCAGTATGCCTTGACATGGGAGGAGTTAGAAGCTCTGTATGAGAAAGACAAATGGGGTGATTTTCGCGATGATGCAGAATACATGAAACAAATATTTCTTCGAAACAAGCGAATCATTGACACAGAGATTAATGAAGCAAAGATGAGACAAATGAGAAAAACTACATATCACAAAGAGCCATACGAACCCTCAGTCTCGAGCTCATCTTCCAGAAATAGCATACACACTACAAAGTCGTCAAAATATGGACAATCAGTTTCAAGCTCAAACATATCCAAGACGTCGTCCAGACTTAGTGTAGCGAAAACACATGCTTTGGCGAAGGCTGAGGCATCAAAGAAAGAAGGAGAGTTTGAAAGAACTATAGCGAAAGCATTAACGGAGTTAGCAGAGCGCAAAGCCAAAAATAGAGTCCTTGCGGCCGACAAAAACGCTGCAGCTGCTCATGCAACAGCCACCGTTTTACAACAGGCTGTAGACGAAGAGAATGGACTGTTCCCTACAACCCCAGAACAGAACACAAACATTCGAAAACAAACAATGATGGCAGTTTACAATTGCAAGAAACTCATACTACTAACCCGCCGTCGAATGGAATATCGATTCTCCCATCCACACTACGAGCTGAACAAATTTCTGAGTGACCAGTCGACAAACAAATGACAGCACCGGAGAGACAGTTTGGAATGACAGACTGCAACACAAAGCCAGTTTCTGAAGAATACATACGAATACTGGCTCGACAACGCCTGCCAGTGTAGGAGCCTGAGATTTACAGCGGTGACCCCGTCATGTTTTGGCCTTGGAAGAGAGCGTTTGATTCCCTGGTGCAGTCGGCTTGTGTGTCAACTGCAGAGAAATTATCCTTTCTGGGCAAGTACACCACAGGTACAACAAAATCACTGGTAGACAGGTATCGACTAAGAAACGTAGACAACGTAGAAAGAGCATACAAAGAAGCCTGGGAAGAACTGGAGTCAAGATTTGGCAACCCGGCTGTCATTTCCTCAATCATCATAAAACAGTTAAGTACATTCAGCAAAATCAAAGCTGACGACAACCAGCGACTTCTCGAACTTGCAGACTTGCGCGTAGACACAGTTGCACACATGAAGGACCTACCTCATTTGATTATACTTGATACTCCACATGGAATGAATCCAGTTGTTGAGAAGTT